CAAGAATTAGAAGTCGCCAACGCCTTCGCGCCTTCTCTTTTGTTTGCGGATCGAATAAAGTTGTAAGCCACGCATATCCTAGCTCATCGTTGGTCCAGCCACTAGGAGAAGATGTAAAAAAGCAGTAATGTTCATCAGGATTAAAATCCTGAAGCCACGTATCTTGCATATCTTGAGAAACAGCCTGGTAAATCAAACCAGGTGGAAGAGCTGTCCCATCTGCACAAATACAGGCAACTGTAGTAATCCATTCCCGATTTCCATCCTGGATTCGTTGTTGGGATCCCCTTTCTCATACCCAGCGTCGTGAAAAGATTCTTTTGCCTTTTGATAGTACTCTAATGAGAAAACCCTTCTCATCCATATTGTACATATCTCTAGGTTCAATCTCGTACTCCTCAATCTTTTTGGCCATAAGCTTGAAGTATAGTGCGTACTTGTAGGCAGAATCAGCTCTTTTGCGCGAAACGTCAATTCCAGTTGTATAGGAAATAAACAAGCTCATCATGATGTTTCGTGATAAAGCGGTTCGGCCAGCATTTTCCAGGCTTATTTCCAGTAATTTCTTTTGTGAAATTTCGCAACATTGATTGAGATGGTGGTAAGCCACGCTCAGTAAGATTATTGATCCATTTAATCAGCTCTTTTGACTGCTGGTTGTTGAGAACTCGTTGCTTTTCATACTGGTTTTGACGAGAGCCCTGTACACCGCGGTGACGTTTTGACAATGTCGCCCGGCTGACGCCATGCTTTTCCGCTATTTTCGTGTAATTGATCTTTTCTCCTGCTTTCAATGATTCTATCTCTGCCAGAGCTGCTTCAATTGAGTCCATATTGATGGTATTGTGGTCTATCTAAATCTATCGAAAAAGTCGGTGTATAGATGAAAAACGTTCGTCAGGTGATACCGTTCGTCAGGTGATTTGGGACGGTACGTTACAGTGGGTGATCACCTGACGCCCGGTCCTACCTGCCGCCCGATTCCCCTCACCGACTTTCAAAATGACCAAACTTCAACTGCTCATAACTCCACCAATATGACTCCAATTGAAGCGGCTTTAGAAGCAATTGAATTGTTGGAACCAGGCGAATCGATTAATTATACTTTCTTTGCAAACAAGTATGGCGTTAGCCGGTCAACGCTCTCGAGGCGCCACCGCGGGGTTCAACGCTCGAGGGACCATCAGTATGAGGAGCAGCGAATTCCCACCAACCAACAAGATAAGGAACTCATAAAGTACATCAACAAGCTCACTGAGAGAGGCCTCTTTGCCTCGCATGAAATGCTGCGGAATTTTGCTAAAGAGCTTACTGGAAAGAAGCCTGGAAAGCACTGGCCTGGGCGCTTTTTAAAGCGCCACCAAGATGACCTTATTTCAACTTATACAACTGCTATTGATGCCGCAAGAAAACGAGCTGATTCTGCATACAAATACACTTTATATTTTGAGTTGCTGAGCCGGAAACTGCAGGAATATGAGCTACGGCCAGAGGATATCTACAATATGGATGAGAAAGGCTTTATGATTGGAATGCTGGTTAAAGGCCTCAGGATCTTTTCCAAGCAGAAATATCAGAATAGTGGCCTCAAGCAGCGCCTGCAGGATGGGAATCGCGAGTGGATAACCTCAATTGCTTGTATTTGCGCTGATGGAACCTCTCTTCCTCCAGGTCTTATTTACCAGGCCATCAGCGGTGACATACAGGATTCCTGGCTTCAAGATTTCGATCCTGAGCTACACGGTTGCTTCTTTGCCTCCTCACCAAGTGGTTGGACGAACGATAAGCTAGGATTGGCCTGGTTGAAGGACATTTTTGACCGGTATACTAAGGAGAAAGCGCGGAGGCGCTGGAGGCTTTTGATCCTTAATGGCCACGGATCTCACCTTACTATGGAGTTCATCAATTACTGTGACGATAATAAGATCCTCTTAATGACATATCCGCCTCATTCAACTCATTCGCTGCAGCCACTTGATGTTGGGATCTTTAGTCCTCTTGCCACCGCTTATAGCAAGCAACTGGAGGAATTTTTGCACAAATCAATGGGCCTAAGTCATATTACTAAACGAGACTCCTTCCGCCTCTTTTGGCCAGCCTGGCAGCAAGCCTTGTCATCGAGAAATATCCTTTCTTCATGGAAAACTGTCGGTATATCGCCTCTGGTTCCCGAGATTATTCTGCAGCGATTCACCAAGAAGAAGGACTCAAGGCCCTCTACCAGTGAGTCTTCTCGCTCGATACTACAAGCGGAAGATTGGAGGAAGATTGAAAGGCTTCTGAACCACGTGGTGGCTGATATATATGATAAAAACACCAAGAAGTTGAGTTCAACGATGCACCACCTCTCTATGGAGAATATTCTTCTAAAACTACGTTGCCAAGGCCTCGAATCAGCCCTCCAGAATGAGAAGAAGAAGCGCCAGCAAGGTAAAGCCTTGCAGTTTGATATTCCACCTCCTGAGAATGATGGTGCAGTATTTCATTCTCCGCGGAAGGTCCAACAAGCTCGTGATCTTCAAAAGCAGAAGGATGAGGCTATACAGCTCGCTAAAGCTTCAAAAGAGGAAGAAAAGGTCCGCCGGCAGCAAGCAAAGGAAGAGAAACAACACTTGCTTAAAGAGCGCAAGAGAATTCAAGCATCTCAACAAGAATTGCGCCGCTTGGAGGCAGAGCAGAAGAAACAACAAAAGGAGGAGGAGCGCCTGGCAAAGGAGGCAAATCAACAGCTTCAAGATGACTTCCAGCAGGCCAAGAAGGCTCCAAAGAAGCCCTCTAAAGCTTCACGCCAGCAAAATCTCCATACAAATAAGCTAATAAGTGCTGAAGTTGTTGCAGAGGCCCCTCCAACAGTAAATCGTCGAGGCCGGCAGATACAGCTACCCCACCGCTTCCGGAGCGATTAAAAATCATGTATAGACTGTATCTAATGACGACTTTAAGCCACCAAGAAATCGAGAGATAATATCAATTGGATGTGGTTGAATTGCTTCATGTTTGATATCGTACTTGGTGGTGATTTCGGGCGGCAGGTGGGACCGGGCGTCAGGTGATCACCTACTGTAGTGAGTACTAAGCGATATGTGTAAGCCGGGATAAAGACTAAGTAGCTATTTTGTATGGCATGCCTTAGGGTGCTGTATCTAGGGAGCGATAATGAATATATATATACTACTTTCGTCGTCGCTCCTAATCTGACACTGGATTCTATTTCGACATAATCTCCTCTGTGGGCATCCCAATCATCACAACACCGCATGCATTCTCAACGTCTTCGAAATGAGACCTACTGGCCTGCTTCTTATCATAGGCACGAGTCAGAAGGTCTTCAAAGACCAGATGGTTCTAATCTCTGCTACCGGAACGCAGTGATGCAGGTTCTCCTCCATCTCCCTCTCTTTATCCAATGGGTTTAGTAGGTGCGCCATACCCATGCTAGTGATTCCACTACAAACTGTTTCCTCTGGGCCTTGCAAGATTTTGTCCAGACATACTGGTCTAGGATCCGCGACCATGACAATATTGAAACCAGTCTAGAGCCATTTTGTTCTGTCTTTATTCATCAATCTACTGGACTGGGCGTGCTTGGAGACCAAGAGGATATGCGTGAAGCATTCAAAGAAATACTAAGCAGATTAGATGATGATGTGAATAGTGCGCCACCGACCACAACCAATCATCTACTGCCTCTCCAGATGTTCACTATTCTGAAAGAGGACACTACCCAATGCCTTCAGTGTGACCGTTCACACACGCGCCCAGTTGACTTTTAGTTATGTCTCTCTGCTAGCATGAGGGGTCCCACCCGTCATGCCCAGTCTATGCAGGATGCTGTTAACGAGTGGCTTGGGGAACAAAGCATTTATGATAACTGTGCTGATTGCGGCAGCTCAACCCAACAGAATTATACAAGGATCCTTGCATTTCCCGAGGTGCTGGTTCTCCAGATTGACCGATTTTCAGGGAAAGGTAAGCACCGTAAGTCAAGGCAGAGGATCTCTATCCCCAATCAATTTACGCTTACCTCCAAGGCACCGGGTCATTCGGAAGCACGCGCAGTTGAGGCCACCTACCGGCCCTGTGGTCTGGTCTTTCACCATGGTGACCAACTTAATTCTGGCCATTATACCACAGCTGTCTTGCAGCCGAACCAGCAATGGGCGGTCATTGATGATGATCAATGTATTCGAAGTCAACAACTACAAAGTCTGATGGAATATGGTGATCGTGAGCAGGACGTCTATCTTATTGTCTGTGGGCGTCTCTTACCCAGGTCACAGTTGTTGAAGAAGTCCTATACCGCCCAGCGCCCCCGGACAACTCAGACCTTGCAGTCATCTCAGGTAACACCATTATCCCAATACATCCCCTCCGGCCAGTCTCAGATGCACGCCATGGCTCAGAGAAAAGTTACAGATCGGGAACTCCAGCTTAGCATCCAGGCCTGGTTCCTAGACTCGGGAGAGATGTTTGAAGACTCGCGAATTCTGCGCCTACATGCTACCCATCGCCCCTCTCTAGTTGAAGCCAGCTTACAACCTTCGCGTCAGCAGACATTACATTCCCAAGCATCCCAAGTACATCATGCCCAACAACTGGGTGTCCGCCCTGTGCATAAATTAAAACTGAAAGCACTGGCCTGTAAGTAAGCCCTCCTGTGATATTACTACTACAACGTTGCTGACTATCATATAATAGTACATGAAATACCCACAGTGTCTGACTTTTATGCCTCACGCGAACTACGGGCAGCTGCGGACCCGAGGGTGCCACCCGTTCCATATCTCAATACCCTCGTCTCTTTCATTGAACATGACATCGCACGGTTACAAGTGGATTGTATTGTGAATGCGGCTAAGGAGTCTCTTCAGGGTGGGGGAGGCGTTGATAGGGCGATGCACCTTGCAGCCGGACCCAAGCTGAATCAGGCATGTATAAAGAAACTCCAGGACCGCCAATGTTCACCTGGACGGGTGTTTATGACGCCTGGGTTTCACCTTCGATGCAAATCAGTGATCCACACCGTGGGCCCGGATTGCAGACAGAAACAGCAGATAGACTATGCTCAGGTGCTCAGGCAGTGCTACAGGAACAGCCTGAATAAAGCAGTGTCTAAAGGTCTTCGCAGTATTGTATTTCCAGCAATATCAGTTGGGGTCTATGCTTGTCCTGCGGAGGCTACGAGCGAAATTGCACTCAATACTGTCCGGGGATTCCTTGATGAGCATGGTAGGCCATCTTCATTAGATCGGATTGGGTTCTGCAACCTCGGGCCTAATATTCATGCCATCTACTAAGAGAAAGTTCAGTAAGTACTCCTCTATGGTTAAGTCAGAACCCCTACTAACATTATTAATCACTAGGCTATTCTTCCTCCTCCCGACTCACCGACTACGAGCAGAGATGGCATGGGTTAATGGTGCTCATAGGACCGGTCTGTATATTCTGTACAGTCTGCACAAGGGGGGTATTGCTCTTCCAAAGACAGTGACTGATTATTATATTATTAAGAACCCACAAGTGTTTTATTTCAATCTATATGATGAGTACATAGAGAGTCTAATCAGACTTGATAACTATATGAAATACATGAATTGATCGGTGATAAAGTAATTTGTCCCTTAGACTCAATGAGAGTAGTCTGTATATGATGGAAAGAAGGGCATATATATATCTAATTATTATGCGATACAGGCAAAGCTGTGACGTCGGTGCAATCTGGATGACAAAGACAGCGAGAGCTGTGCTAGATCAGCAGTCACCTCGGGTGCAATACTGACAGTAAGGCCAGGCCAGACAAGCAGTCATTTCAGTGCAATACCAACGGTAAAGCCATGCCAGATGAGCAGTCCATCTTAGTGTGATACAATGAATAGTAATCAAGACTACCCTAATAATGATGAACAGATATCTAAAACTCTAACTACTAAGGAATCCAAGAGTGAGGTAAAAGTGCACTTTAATCATCATGTCAAGCATGCGTGGTATGCATTAGGCAAGGCCGCAAAAATAACTTCATTGGTGACCTCACGCAGTCAAGATGGACAGTGTGTGTATAGTTTGGCCGCAACGGGGTCGCCTGTCGCTGCGGTCTTACGTGTAAATGTGTTAGACTGTAGCGTCAGAGAGGGCCCCGTCCGCTCTCCCCTGTGGGGAGGCAAGTAACTGTATATTGCAATGGCTCTATGATTCTATGTACATAGGGAGGTGGGCGGGAGAATCGAGTCTTGACTGCGTGAGAGATGACGAGCAACTTGCGGAGGCGAGCGGCTGACTCTCGTGAGGCAGTTGCAGGAGGGAGGAACCTCGCAGTAAGCTCTGCAGGTCGGTGAAGCCTAATCCGCAGTGTGTTAGGCGATGGATGTCTTCCATTAAGGGGGCCTGGGACGGCTCTCCCAAAGTGCTCTATCTGCTGACTAGGCTATGACTAAGCTCGGTTGGACCCCAAGGGCCCTTGACGGGTACCTGGTTAGGTCCTGACACCCCCCTCGACCGAGTGTGTCTAGTGAGCGAATCTATGTACATGAAACTGGTGAAAGACAGCAAGATTCATGATAACATGCCTAGTTGTTGTAGGAACGCCTTGTGTGGCTCTGCAGCCAACAGCTTTGTCATGCCATCTGCAACCATCTCTTTCGTCGGAATTTGCTTCACCGCAATGATTCCTTGCTTGACCAGATCACGTGTATAGTGGAAGCGTATGTCGATGTGCTTCGATCGTTTCGTCCCATTTAGGGCTGTTGTCAGATCTATCGCTCCTTTGTTGTCCATGTAGAGCGGGACTGGTGACCCGTGATTGATACCCAGATCTTTCAGGACGGCCCGAATCCACCAAGCCTCCCGTGATGCCTCCTAAGCAGCAATATATTCTGCCTCATTAGAGCTTGTCGCAACACAGGTCTGCTTCCTGGATTGCCAGGATATTGGTGCTCCTGCGAGTGTGAATACGTAACCGCTCACCGAGCGTCTGGCGTCTGTGTGTGGACCTCCCCAGTCAGAATCTGTGTATCCTGTGGTGGTGATGGAATTGGCATCAGCATTGGTATTGCTGCCTCTACGGAGATAGTGGAGTCCGAGATGTCGGGTGCCTTTGAGGTATTTCAGCACATGTATGAGTGCTGACCAACATTTCTTCGTTGGTTTGGAGTTGTGTTCTGCCAGTAAGCAGGCCGCGTGACATATATCAGGTCTCGCCTTCGTTGCAATATATTGTAGGCTTCCAGTGCCTCTTTGATATTCGCGCGTGTTGATCATTGGATCAGGTTAGTCGTCGATTAGTAACTGACGCGTTCTTGCCATATGATCTCTCATAGGACGTTATCCAGATCCAAATATTCTTACCATTCTCTCCTACCTCCTCCTGGCGGCGGTGTTGATTGCACAGATATGCAGTGATTCGACAGTCATAGCCATAGATTTTCTGGCAGCTAGCAGTCATTGCATCCAGCGGGCTATCTCTATCATTCATCCGGCACACATATGTTTAACCATCAATATCCAGGGTGGAATACAGTACCTCCATGCCGCCGAAGTCCAACCTGCAGATATATTCGGTCCTGACCGTTTGTTTCTTGGTAACAACCAGTTTCTCAGCGATTTGCATCCTGTGGGCCACCTTGACTGTCTATCCGGCACACGCACAGGGTGGAATACAATATCTACATGCCTCTGAAGTCCATCACGCGGTTATATTCGGTCCCGACTGTTTGTTTGTTAACGATTCGCATCCTACGGCCATCTCGATCGTCCATCCAGCACGCACAATAGCCCCGTTTGACCGTCGATATACAGGGCTGAATGCGATATTTCCATGCGTTCGAAGTGCATCCTGCGAATATAATCAGTCCTGACTGTTTGTTCATTGTGTGGTATTTGGTACAATGGTCCATGAGAACATCATAAAGTGATTCTTTGTCCCCAAGCGATCAGCCGAGCTGTGATCAAGCCGAACTGAGTACTTGCTTGATATGCTATTCGACATGGTCGGGGTCTCGTTCTTGTTGCAGAAAAAGCAGTCGTGCGCCCTAGCTACACAAATGAGATCATATCTGCGTCCATCGTCGAAAGGATAGATGAGCTCAAATTCAGCGACATGAAGATCAGCGACATGAAGACCAATGGGGATCCGCGGAGGAATATAACCGAGCAGATCACCACGAGGTCGAAGACGGACCTGCGCATTAAGAGCAACCTGCCCGTCATCATCAGGGACATCATCATCTATGCGAAGATTAATAAGAGCGAGAGCATGACAGAGACATGCACATCTGGGGATCTGGCAGCTGGGCGGCTACAGATCTGTGGTTACCTACATAGTCAGCAATGTGAGCACAAGCATGCCGTGATTACTCCACCATCACGGCTGCGGAGGCAGCCATCATGGCGTCCCGGTCAGGTTATGCTTCGAGCTCGGGGCAGGAACGCGTTGCAAAACTTTGTGGATACAATGTCTCACTTATGCCCAAGGCAAAGCTCAAGGTTGTGTGCTGCATCGTCTGTTCGGCCAGTTCAGCTCAAGCGAGAAGATGAATCTGCACGCTGTCCATGGCTCAGCCCTGTCCGCCAGCATGATCATGGGTCACGGGGAGCTTTGACAAGACAGCCAGTTAACTGCTTTCATCCATCTCAGATTTGAGATCTTTTATAGTCAAGATCATCCACCTTCGCCCCTGAAAATTTGTCTTTTTGAAAGAAGGCTTGGGTAATATCGTGTATGTTACTGTGGATAAGCAAATATGGCAGGATATCTAGTCGTTACGCAGTTGAATATGTGCTTGAAGTCATTGCCCAGCAAAAGCCTAGAAGCATCATCTTTAGTCTCTAGAAAATATTAGGCTGATGAACACTGTGAAGTTTATATCATCCTTTTACTCTATCACTTTATCTTCATCTCTGTAACTTGATATGTGGGGTGTTTGCAGTTAGACCTGGTTGTTAGTCCCTCCACCCTGGTAACAGAAAGTTGTATATGCCGCACCAAATATGGCAGTGCAGTATACACTCATTTGGATAGTGACATTTCTGCACCTACAATAATAACCAACATCTTCTGTACAGACATAGCTGTCAGGTCTTTTAATGTGCTTTGCTCCTTACTTTATCTATATAAATCAAGGCATCTATGCTGGATATACAGTAGTAAACTTTCATCTTCTATTCAATTAATACATCATTTTCCATTCACTTAAATACTTCACTAGCCTCAACTGCCACCTCAAGCATTACTTACTCCCAGTTATTCATAACATCTCTTTCATATTCTGCAGACTTGCGTATTTTGTCCATCAAAGTGAACATAATACCCAGTTCTTCTTCTTTCTCACCTACCTCTTCACCTCTCCTTCATGCTCTACAACATCATTCAACAACAGCATTTCTCCTCCTAAGTTACTGATATCATCATATTAGAACCCACCACAGGAACAGGTGAGTAAGTAAGCTCTATTGCATCTTTCCACTCTAACCTACTGCAGCCACAGGAGCAAGCATGCTAGAAGTTATGTCCGGGTTACACTCAGCAGAAACCAACTCAACAAATACCATTACTCGCGATATGAAGTCCCTTGTCAAAAAGATTCAAGATCTCCGTCACATAGGAATCGAGGACAGCCAGATTGCTCTCCCCAAAATATGCGTCATAGGGGATCGGAGCACAGGGAAAAGGTCTTTGGTCAAAGGTATCAGTGAGATAAAGCTGCCTCGCAGTGCTGGAACATGCACTCCCTGTCCCATGGAGATAAACCTGACAGAGAGTGAGCCCAGACAAGACTAGAACTGTCATATCTTTCTATCGCGGAAATACATCTTTGACGGCTCTCTGAAGGTTACTAAACTTCCCAAAAAGTCGCAGCCTCTGGGACCATGGATCGAACAAGACCAGGAAGATGAGTACTTTACTAATGTCAAAGATAAAGATAGTGTACAAGAGGGCATTAAGTGGGCACAGCTTGCCATTCTGAACCCAGGAAGGCCGTCTACTGACTACCAACCCGGCAATAACGCTAACACTGATGAGTCTTATTACCAAGTGAAGTTCTCCCCAAATGTGGTTCAGTTGGACATTTCGGGACCTAACTTCCCTAATCTCTCCTTCTATGATCTACCTGGTGTCATTAGCCAGGCGGAACACGATCATGAGCGTTACCTTGTTTCATTAGTGGAGAACCTTGTGAAAGTGTACATCTCACAGGACAATTACATCATCCTGCTGGCACTTCCGATGACCAAGTATGTGATGAACTCCAGAGCTGCACATATCATGCGGGATATCCCTGGCGCCAAAGAAAGAACTCTCAGT